GAAAATCGGATGCAGTGTGAATCCAGCAATACTCTACCCGACGAGTAGATTTTCGAACGCACCCAAGGAGGATCAACTCGTGCAAATAGCGGTAGTGGGGGGTGAGGCAAAAAGTGGCGACGGATAACTTCCCCCACTCTTGCGCTTCATTAGTCCTCTCTGTCGCTCTATATAGTTGTCGCTCTATCGTTCTATAATCGTCACTTTGTCGCTCTTATATCGAACTTTCACACAATGCGCAGTGCCGCTGCACATCGTGTGAATAGCCGCGGACGTTTTTTGATTCACCCCCACCACGCGAGTTGATCCTCCTTAGTTCTAGTCTTCTTGCTATTAACATAGACAACTGGATATAAATTATTACATATAGCATAAAAAATATATTACGTTTAACCTGAGACAAATGTTATTTTGTACAATTGAAAAAGAAAAGTGGACAATTAATGAAAATATAAGACAAATAAGTATATATTAAAAAATATCTTTGAAGAAATCATGACAATTGTATTTAACTTTTGCTCATGATTACGTGTTTGTATTATGTATAATAGTGGCTGGAATAAATTAATTAAAAGTAACGACAGTTACAAATATGCACCTACAAATAATGTCAAGAAAAGATATTGTCTTATACAAATGTCTTTCAATCACGATGAAGAATATCTGATTGTAGGAGACACCAAAGGATACTTACATTACATTGAATTATCTGGAGATGTTCCATGTTACAAAATATTAGGAAAAATTGGGCGACCTACCTTTCTAGCATTTAATCCTACATGTACAGAGGAAATATTGATAGGACTTGATACTGGTGACATAAAGATTTGGAAGCTTTATACGGATATCAATGAGTTTTCCTTGTTATCTGGTCACAAATTAGCACCAACACATGTTTCCTTTTATAAACATCATTGTCTGACAAACTCTCGAAACGAAGTAATAATATGGGACCTAAATTCTTATAATAAAGTTCATCAATTAAATGTTAGGGTAAAGAACGCTATCAAGAAAGCTGCCTTCTCCAATGTGGGTCATATCGTTGTGTTATATCACAATGACACTATGCAGGCTTGGAGATTGAGACAGTTGCATAAAGATACCAAAATCGATACAAAAATATTTGGAATACGTTATATCAAAGATTTTGTCTTTACGAAAGATGGAAGAGCTATGATAATGGGTGGTACAAGAAACATAAGCATTCTTAATACATATGATTGGAGTTTATTAAGGAAACTTTGTTTGCCTAATAATTTTGTTGAAGCAAAACAATTATCTGTTGTTTCATATCCATTAGATGGTGGAGCAAATAATATTCTTGCATTTCTATCCTCGAAAAACATGCTTCAATTTTGTGATATAAATGCACTAACTTTTCTTGAGATACCTACCTCTATTGATAGAATTAAACAATTTGTAATTTCATCTGCTGGTAGATATATAGCATACATAGATCAGGAAGGATGTTTAAACATAATGCATACAGACAAAATAATTTCCAAAAAATGTCTTCAACCTAATGAATTGTTAAAACCATATAGAGTACATGCGCACAAAATAAGTGATCATTTGGAATGCGTTAGACAAAGCATGAAGCAAGAATTAAATACGAAACGATTGATGCCTATTTTAAAAGAATTTGGAGAATATCCAGAGAAATATCGTACATTAATTTGGTCCACTATTTTAAAATTACCAGCTAATAAAAACGCGTATATTGCCTTAACAAGTAAGGTAACACGTGAAAGATTTGCATTGAATACTTTAAGAAGTCTTCCCTTGGCAGATAAAAGCAAAGCATCGTTGTTAGCCATGACAATAGATTGCTTGTTGCAATGGTGTCCTCTTCTAATACAGTGTCTATTTCTTCCCAACTTAATTTTTCCATTTCTTATGACATTTCAGGTATCTTCTTATTTTATTTTAGACAGATATTTTGTTTAGTTTAAAATGTAAAGTAAGATATATTTATTTGTTTCAGAAAAATCCTTTACTTGCCTTTGAGTTAATTTTAAGTATACTACTAAACTATTGCCAAAAGTGGTTTGAATACCATCCTTTGCCACCATTGAATATTTTGGGGATTATTGAGAATATCCTCCTAGAAACTGATCCTATATTATTGAACATCTTTTGCGAACATGGAATCACAAGTAGCGAATATGCATGGCCATTACTTCAAACTGCAATGAGTGAAGTATTGTCAGGAGACGAGTGGCTGATTTTGTGGGATCATTTAATATCTTTCCAAAAACCTTCTCTGTTATTGATGTGTGTTGTTGCATATAATATTTTTTTGAGAAAAAATATAATTTCTTTATTAAAGTCATCTGAAGATATCAAAGCATTTTATAACGCTCAAAGTCATATTAGAGCCAAGGATTTGTTAAAAATCGCGAGAAAGATAGATCAGAAGATATCAAAACGAATACATCCTAATCGTTATTTGAGGTAATATATTGTAATACTAATATCACAAAAACTGATTACATATACATGTTTGTACTAATATTTAAAATTATTTCAGGGATAAACTATTACAATTAAATCATAGCGGATCCTATCCTTCATTTATATCAAAAGAATATCCAAAATTTCTTACTGAAAATCTCGCAGATTTAGAAAAATTAAAAATGCAAGAACAAAATTTGCAAGAATATAATTGTAGAGTTGCAGATTTTGAAAAGAGAAGATTACATGCAGAAACTGAAGCCTTTGCAAGGCAAATTCATGAAGCAAGAATAAATGGTAAAATATATTCAATCTACATATATTTTTTTCTTTAATTTGTTATATTTTTTCAGTAATATCCTAATTTCACTAATTTTATAAATTTAGTCAAATTGTAAATATTGCAAAGAAATAATTAATTACTTATATTTCAGAGGTACAGAAATGCTTTCAAGAACATATTAATAATTTAAATTGGAAATGGCAGACCTTATTACCAAATGCAGAAAAAGAAAAATTCTGTTTCCATTTGTATAAAAATTCTGATAAGAAATCTGAAAGGAAACAAGAATGTAATAACTGCAAGATTGTAGAAGAAATAGTTTCGAATTATGAGGATGCTAATTCAAGAAATTATAAAAAATTACAACAAGATGTAACAAAGCTTGAGTGTGAAGTACAAAATTTCTTAGATTCGCTGAGATAGCTTGAAAATGAATATTAATTAAAGTTGCTAAGAGAGGGAGAGAGAGAAATTTAGCAAAATAAAATTTTAATACAATTGTATAATAGAAATATATTTTAATTATAATTATATACATTTCTTAGCGAAATTTATCTATATACTTTTTATAAATCATATTTACAAATTTTACATTATATGATAGGCAATTCATAAAAAAACTATGCACGATACATATATATATACACACCCTATATATATATATATATGGGGTATCCCCGATCTATGGGATCACCTCTCATGAGCAGGTAGAGCAGATTGAATTGAGTTGAAAAATCTACTATTTTGCAACTTTCGCAATAGTTAACGATATTAATTTTTTAAGATAGCCAATAAATGCGTTCGCCCGACTTACTATTACCAAATATACGGCCTGCGCAAAACGCGGGCTATCTTAAAAAATTAATATCTTGTTAAAGGGTTCCTAAAGACGATTAGTCATGTTGTAAGTAGCACTTAATACACAGACGATTTACGTGTCATTCGTTGTGACCCATTACTATATTAATATCTTACTTATGCATGCCCTCCCTCCCACACACACACACACAAATTTTCGTATAACGTTTTAAAATAAATAAAGTGATAAAACGTTCGACAATTTGCAAAACATAATTTTCTTAGTAATGACCAAAATGAGCAAATAAAGTGTTAAGAGATTACAATTTAATAACGTTTTAATTACATGTCTAGTTCAATTCTAAGAACTCCACGTTGTTTCTTCACACAAACTACTAGTCTGTGGACTATTATTTCATAAGTACAGATTGCATAGCTTTAATACGAAGCTAATATTGTTACGATGTGTGACAGCTCTAGAACGCCATATTAGACTAAGAAATGATAAAGATCAATTTCGAAATTTTTTGTCGTTCTCAGCAGATTCTACCTTACAGACACGTATTAATATGTATACTTTAATCCTGGAAAAGGATTTTCGAATCAGTAAAAGAGGAAAAAAGTAATTGTTAAAAATTATATGGTTTAGTCGGTAATACAAACTTTAGGATCCCCTTAACTGATGTGAAAATTGCAAAATAGTAGAAGACTTTTTGACTCAGTTCAGTCCATTCTATCTGCTCACGAGAAGTGATCCCGTAGGTCGGGTACACCCTGTATATACATATACCTATACAGGTATGTACATGTTATGTATAGAAAAATATTTTAATGTGACAAGAATATATAATCTAAGAATACATATGCATCTTGTTAAAAGCATATAATTTTACATTGATTATTGTTCGAATTTGTACTTGCAAATATATATATATATATATATATACATACAAAATTTGCTAATGATCATATTGAATGAAAGAATGAACAGGAACACCAACCTTATCTCGACCTTTCAACAAAGTTAATTCCATTATTACAACACACTCAATTACATCAGCACCTGCTGATTTTACTAATTGTACTGCTGCAGCCATAGAACCTTTAAATAATAAATATTTATTTATGTTACTCTCATTGATACATTCTAAAACAATATATTCATTGTAATGTAATTGTATTTTACCTCCAGTTGCCAATAAATCGTCAACAATTAACACTCTAGTTCCTTCATTAATAAATTCTGTTTGTAATTCAAACGTGGCCTGTACAAATAAAAGCAATTTATTTATATATGGAAGATAATTGATACATAATCAATATTGTTTAGAACATACTTCTCCATATTCTAATGTATATTTCTGTTGGGTGACTTTGCCTGGAAGTTTACCCTTTTTTCTAACAGGCAAAAAAGGCTTGCCCAATTCCATGCAAATTATAGGACCGAAAAGGAAGCCACGTGAATCCAATCCTACAACTAAATCGACTTCGAGGAATAAAATATGCTCCATAATTAAATCTTTCATTGCTCGTAATGCTACGATATTATTAAACGCGCTAAATATATCTCTGTAAGTAAATAATTTATATAATATAATAAATGTATAGTAGGATCAAATTAATCCTTAATCTTTTGTTAATTTTAAACTCTTCTTATTCACTTACCGGAAAATGATCCCAGGTTCGGGAAAGTCGGGATAACTCTTTATAGCATTTTTCAGTATCTGCAATTTATCGTTCTTGTCCATCGTAATAATTGTACAATTTAGTAACTTAAAATGATGGTAGCACTAATAATATAGAATGTGTCAATATAACTGATAATCTTAGATGTATTAAAAATAGATATTAATTTGTTAATAATTTATAATTTTTTGAAATTATCAAAATAATTTTGATAAGTCACTTTTAATGATGGCAAATGAAAATTCTAATACTAATGGATAAAAAAAAGATTATTTTTCCAATATGTTTCAAACAACGTGCATTCTGCATACAGGTGGTCGACGTCAAGGACGCCAATTTGGGGACGGTTCTAGAATTTGAAAGGTGCAATTTCATGGACGCGTCAAGATGAAATTTCATGGGCGCGTCACATTTGTCGCGCGCGTCGCGTGTCACTTCAGGGTGTTATTACATGAGCGCGGAAACGCGGAAATGCGGAATCGCGTAATCAATCAGAAGCAATCCGCTGTTATGGTTTCGCGTTTCATCGATTACTGATTGGTTGCGCGTTTCCGCGTTTCCGTGTTTCCGCGCTTATGTAATGACACCCTGAGGGTGCCATAATACATTTTTAACGCGACATTTGCATTTAACAAATAAAATATAATTATTTTAAAAAATAATTATATTCTAT